AATTTTCAATGCAATGAAATTTAAAATTCCCTGTTGGTCTGGTCACGTGAGGCATTTTAGAACTGCCTCTCACAATGTAGCAAAGTTAGAAAGAGACAGCATGTGAAAGGTGGCGGACTGGGTGCAAGGTGGACGGGCGGACGGGCGGCCCCGGTCCTCATGCTGCCGCCTGTCCCCATGCAGGGCTTCTTCCGGAGGACCATCCGGCTGAAGCTGGTGTACGACAAGTGTGACCGCAGCTGCAAGATCCAGAAAAAGAACCGGAACAAGTGCCAGTACTGCCGCTTCCACAAGTGCCTGTCTGTCGGGATGTCCCACAACGGTAGGTGAGACTGCCCCGCACGCTGCCCGCTGTGCCTCGGTTTACCTGCCGTGCTCAGCTGGAATGCACTGCATGTGTTTTGAATGAACATGCTGTGCCATTTAACATGCAGATCACTTTGTAACCAGAGAAGACCACGGGAAGAAAGAAATGTCTCCGCTAGCTATGCTCAGCAGAGCACAGGGGATGACTGTTAAAAACCTCACATCGCAGCTGGGCCTGTAATCCCAGCCCTCTGGGAGGCTGAGGCAGGAGGATCACAAGTTTGAACACAGCCTGGGCAACTTAGACTTAGTGCGACTCTGTTTCAAAACATACAAAGGGCTGGGGATGTAGCTCAGTGCCAAGATCGCGAGTTCAGTCCCAAGAAATGGGAAAAAAAATGTAAAGCCAACTGGAAATTCTGGGGGTGGCAGAACTGTCCGTCATCCCGTGAAGCGGGTGTCCTTTCAAACGTTGTACCGGCTGCTAAGTCCCTGGGGTTCACTTGTACTCTGCTCCTTCCTGCATGAAGGTGCCTTTGAAACAAGTGGCGCGTCAGGGCCACAGGGAGATGACAAAGGTCCCCCGGGGGCCCACCCTGCAGCTCCTTCACCTCCCTGATGACAGGAAGTGGTCCTGCTGACGCACCAGTGGTTAGCATTAGCGTTTCCTCCAACCTTTTCCTGAAGTCTAGGAGTTGCAGAGTTGATCTTTCTCCCTCCTTTAGTGGAATGGATTTTACTTCCATTCACAGCTTAATTCTTAGCAGGGGCGTCTTTCTCATTCCACCGTGGCGTCTTTGCCACCGTTGCGCCCCCTCCTCCCTGCTCTGTTCTGGCCCTGTGACCCCGTCCCCCATGCTCCCCCAGCAATTCGCTTCGGACGGATGCCAAGGTCAGAGAAGGCAAAACTGAAAGCAGAAATCCTCACGTGCGACCAGGATGCCCAGGACTCCGAGACCGCTGACCTCAAGTCCCTGGCCAAGAGGATCTACGAGGCCTACCTGAAGAACTTCACCATGAGCAAGGTCAAAGCCCGCATCATCCTCGCGGGGAAGACCAGCAGCAACCCGGTAGGTGCGCGGGCCGGCGGGGAGGTCTGGTGGGTGCCCTGCTGGGAACAGGTGCCCTGCTGCTGAGGAACGGGGGCAGCAGTCCTCCTATGTGTCTGGAACACGACAGAGGAAACTTTCAGTGCTGGGGAAATAGTTATCCCAAAGGCGGATGGAAGGCGATGGAAATGCAGACGGGACCTTCTGGAGCTCCAAAATGGAGCTTAAGGGCAGCGCTACCTTCTAGCATGAGTTCACCTCCCAGCTGCTGGCAAACAAGTTATGACAACAGCCATGGCGTTGATGTACCAGAAATAATCTTGCTGATACCTCACCAGGCTCCAAGGTTATTTTCTAAGGGCATTTTTCCCACTCAGAATGCATTCTCACCCTACCTAACACACACACACACCGTCATCCCTGCCTCTGGTACCCACCTGCCTTCTTTCCCTCTCTGGATCCAGAAAGGGTCATCTGTCCACAGAAATCTGCCCCGCTGGCCACTGCCCCCACCCGGAAGTTACCCAGTCTTGCCCCTTCACGAAAGATGTCCTCACTGCCTTCAAAGAGAGGCTGCCCTTGAAGACATTTTGCCTTTTTCCTACGAACATGGTGCCACAGGTTTAATTTGTCCTAATGAGTAGCTTGGAGCATTTGTTATTGGGAATTACAAACTGGAATTTTTAGTCACGGGAAAAGAAAGGATTTCACAAGCTACTTACTTTCATGAACGAACCTAAACTCTCTTTCACTGAGTCTTTTAACTCTTCAGTGAATTCTGCAATTAAGTAGGCTGCAGCCATTCAGAAAGTCCCTTCGGACTCTGCCCAAGGGCCAGGCCAGCAAGAGCCTTTAGGACCGCAGCAAGAGTGTGGGGAGCTTTTACCCCTGGATTGCTGTCCTGGAAATGACTCAGATCGCCCCGAATTCGGGAAACCAAAACTCTATTCAAGAGCTTCTGTCTCTTCCTTGAATTGTAAGCAATTGAAGCACACTTATGTCACTTGTACTTGGCACAAAGGTGTTTCTGGAAGAATCTGATTCCCACTGAGTTTCCTGCGTTTGTCCAGCGAGCCCCACAAAGCTCTGAGGCTTGACCATCATCACCCCTGGCCAGAGTAGAAAACAGCAGGACTCCCGGGCCTCTCACGCAGGGAATGGCAGATTGGTAGCTAGTATTACCTTAGTAATTCTCTTATTGCGGCCTGAATCTCCCAAGTGAGTGGACCAGGAAGACTAAATAAATGAGACAATGGAAATGATTTCGGAGCTCCGGGAGAGTTCAACCCTATTACAGATTTCAAGATTCTCTGGGTTGAGACAAAGACTTCCCTGAGCTGTGGCCCGTATCCATTAGGTTTTCAGAGGAGGGTGGGTACTGAAGAAAATGCGGGAATCTGGGCAGGACTTGGGCAACCCATTACGGAATTCTCCAAGCAATACTTACATTAATTTAGGAGAACTGTGTTATCTCCAGGAAGGCCTGCACTGCAGGAGTGAGACGCCTGCGGCCACCTCTACTCCAGTTAATGAGGGTCCTCCGCTGTGACCTTACCCTGTCCTTTGAGGCCTCGCGGTTTCACCCACCATTACAGGCCTCAGGAGGGACCAGTGACTCACAAGGAAACGTGGACAGCCAGTAGGTTAATATAAGCCCTGCTCAGAGCGGCTTCACAGCGGTTTCCTCAAGCTGGGAGCGGGGTTCGCGGCCTCAGCAAAGCAGAACGGAGAGCATGGCAGGGAGGCGGAGGCTGCCCACACACGTCCACGCCGGGCACCCCAGGGCCAGCTTCAAAGCCCTGGCCGGCTGCGAGCACAGCCAGGGGCACAGGCACCCAGGCCTTCTATGTGTTGTGCGCAGGCCTGGCCCTATCCCTGCTCTTCTGCGGACGCCGGCCTGAGCCGGGCCCCGCCGGTGGGCGCCCACCGCCAGGCTGCACCGCCAGTGGGCGTCAGCAGAGCAGAGCAGTCTGTGTCTTCAGCGAGCAGCTTGAAGAGCAGCTCCCCGTGGCGGCGGGGGTGGGGCAGCCCGCCAGGGAGACCAGGCCTTGGCCCTGTCACCTGGTGCCGCAGCCGGCCTCATTGCTGACGGGGTGGGAGGAGCGGAAGGAGCAGCCCAGGCCGGGAGGTGGGTGAGCCGGAGTGGGGCTCGGTGTGCCGGCGGGAGGGGCGCACACTGGCGCAGTGCCCACATCTCCCAACCCGACCAGGGCTCTGCCCTGAGCGCCATGCAGAGATGGGGACCGGCAGGTGCTTGTGTGCCGAGGGCTGGGCAAGCCCGAGCGCCCCTTGCGGAGCCCATTCCCTCGCGCCTGAGGACCCGGCAGGTGCAGCAGCGCCCGGGCGGTCAGAGCATGTGGACGGGGACACAGGACGCTGCTAGTGGCGGGCGGGGGTTGCTCTGGGGAAGTGGCGCTTACTGGAGGTTCGGGGTGAGGAGGTGGGTCCCCCGGGAAAGGCTTTAGTTCCTGAGCTCTCGGACCTGTGGAGCCCACTGCCCCTTGACTGCAGGCGACAGAAACAGCAGCAGAGCTGAGGGGAGAGGAAGGAGTCCACTCTGAGCATGGCTTCTAGAGAGGGGCTTGCCGCAGCAACTTAAAGTCACTGCCGCGCTGGTCTGTCGGGCTTGGGGAGTCGTGAAAAGACAGGGAAGCAACACAAACACAAGGCTGGGAGCGCAGAAGCCAGGAGCGGTGGTGCACACTCTTGTAATCCCAGCACTATGGGAGGCTGAGGCAGGAGGATCACAAGTTTGAGCCCAGCCTGGGTTAGCGTCAGTGCCTCTCTTGAGATGCTTGCTTCCCCATGATGATGGGCCCAGCCCCCAACTTGCATGCGTGTGCACACACTTGCACACGCACACACACTCATGCACATGCTCCTGTACTCACCCCCACACTTCCACACACACATGCACACTCTGGCTCGGGTCTGCTCTTAGCCTGGGGAGCCGGCTGCCCCTTGTGCACAGGTGTGACTGCTCAGCGCTGAATACCTCCACTTTACAATTTCAAATATAAGATGGAAATAATACCGTAGTGCTACATGTGGATCTAACATCAGAGCTCTATTCCGTCCAAATAAATAATTACCAAAGGCAGCGGGTTTATTTCAGCCCTTTCATGCTCAGAAGAGCTGGGATTTATCTTGAGAGTCTAAATATCTCCATTTGTGGAAAATCTTTACCTTCTGAGATAGTGCAACTGCTGACAAAGCCCTATGTCCCTTGTAGTCGATATGGAAAGCCAGGCGGGATTATGTCGAGTAAAAGTCTTGTTTGAAATAAAAATAAGTGAAGCCAGGAAAGGAATTGTTTTTTTTCCTTTTGAAGACGGTCTCACTATGCAGTTCAGGCTGGCCTTGAGCTCACTTTGTAGCCCAGGCTGGTCTCGAACTTGCAGCGATCCTCCTGCCTCAGCCTCTCCAGTGCTGGCATTACAGGCGTGTGCCACCACGCCCAGTTTGAGGAGTGGAATTTCTAACGTGCACCTCATAGCAGAATGGGTCCTCAGAGCAGCTTCAAGAGAGGAATGCAGCACTGTCCCAGATGTCTTAGGACTTGGGGAGGGAAGGTACCATTGGCACCGCGCTGGCAAGGAATTGCTTCAGTTTTCAGGTGTTCTCTTGTACCATGTGTTGGTGTTGGCTGCTGTGTTAGGATCAAGTGTCTGCAGGTTGCAAACATAGTGAATATTGTGGACTGTTTCTGGAAATGGGAAGTAAAATGTAACCAAGAGCTTAGTAAGTAGTTTCCTCGGAAGCACTTCTAACAAGGACTCACATTTCAGTTTTTCCTCAAAGGTCACAGCGGCCTAACTTCCTAAGTCTTGTGCAGCATGTCTTTGACCAGCAGCAGTCCTCACCAGGTGTAGCCGGGATGGGGGAGATTCGGGGAGCTGAGGCTTTCTGCCTCGCGATCCTTGCGCTGTTTATAATCTTCACAAAGTGCTCTATTTGAAATGCCTGGCTGTGGTCCCAGGTATATTCCTGTTCAAACTTGAGAATAAAAAGCACACTCCCAAGTTAAATATAAGCCACATGGATTTTAAAAATAGTTTCACCAGAACTATTTACCAACAAAGTTTGGCAAATTTTCAAGTGAGTTTTACTACACAGCGGCTCTTTAGCTTTCACACACATCGGTGTCTTAATGATCGGGCTCATTTTTAAAATTCAGATGTTTTCCAGTTGTACCTGTTCAAGGAAGGCCTGCTTTCCAGAACCCAACTGTGATCTTAGAAAAATGAATCAAAATACATGTTGCCGTAGAGGTCTCCATCGACGAGGGTCCGTTGAACATAAAGGTAGTGCTGGGCCTGCTCTCTGGCTGCAAGCCGGTCACGGTGTCTGAGCCTAGAAGGGCCCAGGCCTGGACTCACACAGCTGCGGCTGTCTCGAGATTCTTGGTTACCCTTTAACAGGAGCCTGCCTTTGCATTTTACCTTAGACCCTGAGAATTCTGTGGCCAGGGCTGCCCAGGCGTGACATGCTTTACTGTAATAGCCACAAGAACTGCGACTCTTCTGTAAACAGACACGGGGAACCACCACTGCCCCGTGTTCTGGACCATTCGCAGCACAGCTCTAAGTGGACCCAGCTCCACTTAGCTGCTCATTTCTGTCATCTTCTCTGTCTGTCTGTCCTTGAGCTATTTATTTAGCACTTATTTCTGTTGAATGCACTCTAGAAAAAAAGACAATGACTTGAATGAAGTTAAAGTAGCCTAATAGTATATTTCTCTCTAATGAAGGGAGGAGTATTGCCATTTCTCCTTTAGAAATATAGCACTCAGGCATGGTAACTCATGCCTGTAATCCCAGCATTCTAGAAGGCTGAGGCAGGAGGATTGCAAGTTCAAGCCCCGCCAGGGCAACTGACCAAAATATGGTCTCAAAATAAAAAAAGAAAAAGAGAGAGAGAGAAAGAGAGAGAACTGGGTATACAGCTTGATGATAAGGTCTGGGGTTCAATCCTCAGTACCATAAAAATTCTTCCCCCGTATCCATGAAAAGCTGGATCCAGGACCCCCAAGGACACCAAAATTCAGATACTAAAGGTCCTGTTAAAATAGCATCATATTTACACAAAACATAAACACAGCCTCTTGTCTACTTCAGATTATCCTCTAGATCACAATGCCTGATACATGTTAAATGCTAAATAAATAGTTGTCATACTGTATTGTTTGGGGATTAATTATGATAAAGAAAAGTCTGGGGCCAGGGATATAGCTCAATGGCATAAGTGCCTGCCTGGCACGCACAAGGTCCTGAGTTCAATTCCTGGTACCAAAAAAAAAGAGGGGAAAAAAAAAGAAAAGTCTGGGGGCTGGAGATAGAGCCTCACGGCAGAGTACCGGCGTAGCAGGTGTAAGGCCCTGGGTTCAAGCCTAGTACCACCCAAAAAAAAAGTCTGAACATGTTTAGTACAGATACAGTTCTTTAAAATATATATTTTTAATTCAAGGCTGATAGAATTCACAGCTGGGAGGGCCCACAGACACACGGGGCTGTGTCTCCAGGCTGTCCCACAAATGTTAATTCTTTTTTTTATTTTTTAAATTTTATTTTAAAGAGAAAATAAAAACGATGTACAAAATTTCAAAGCAAGATAATAGAGGGGCTGGGGATTTAGCTCAGCGGCAAAAGCGCCTGCCTGGCAAGCGCAAGGTCGTGAGTTCGGTTCCCGGTACCGGAAAAAAA